GAGGCAGTCCGATCGAGGTAGGTCATTCGACTGCTTCTTCCGACAATCACTAACAGGTTCAGGGATACTGGTGCACGCTTGACTTATAAAATGATCTCGCCTACTACGTATACTTGCCGGCACTCGCTGACAATCTTCTGGTCTAAGGAACACGACTTCGAGTACGACACAGAAATTTCTGGTGTGGTTTGTACTCCGTACAGGAAGCAGGTCACGCTGGCAGCGAACGAAATTGCTGCTGTATCCGTTGAACAGAGTGAAAGTTTCATCTCGGTCGCTGCCCTTTTCTCAATATCTGCTTCTCTGATGAAAGAGGAAAAGGTATATCTGCGCCTTCCGTCCAACTGGAGAGAGGTCTACAGGGAGTTCTTGGAGCGTCGGAAAACACGCCTAGATGCGGCAGATCGTGACGCTATTAAGCACTATCGCTCAATCATTGAAGATCAGATCGAGAACGAAGAGTCGGATGGTGTCGTGCTTACGAATCGCTTCAAGGCGCGCAATCAGGCCGCGACAAGCTCTAGCACATCTAACTCTGGCTATAGCACACCGGTACGGCACTACGACGGTCTAAGAGAGCAATGGTTTGCCAAAGCATCAACCCCATCATACCAGCGCATGCTCGTTGGTCGAATGAACCTCCCAGTCTTCAACTTCAGAGATGAGATCTTGTCCACTGTGGACAAGAACCAGGTCACTATAATCTGCGGTGAGACTGGCTGCGGAAAGAGTACGCAAATTCCCGCCTTCGTCCTCGAGCACGAGCTATCGCAAGGCAAGGCATGCAAAGTCTACTGCACCGAGCCCCGACGTATCTCGGCGATTTCGCTTGCCCAACGTGTAAGCGAAGAACTAGGCGAAGGGCCCAAAGATCTAGGATCCATACGTTCACTTGTCGGATACGCAATTCGGCTCGAGTCAAAGACTTCCTCCCAGACTCGCTTGGTGTACGCGACGGTTGGTGTGGTATTACGAATGCTAGAGTCATCTGGAGGCTTACAAGAGGTCACACATCTGGTCATTGACGAGGTTCATGAAAGATCCATCGACACGGATTTCCTTCTGGTCATACTTCGGTCACTCATGGAACGCCGACCTGAACTTAAGGTCATACTAATGAGTGCCACGGTAGATGCCGCACGCTTCTCAAGGTACCTGAACGACGCACCGATCCTGACAGTACCAGGTCGCACCTTCCCGGTTCAGACTCGATACCTGGAGGATGCGGTCGAGTTGACGCATTACGCTGGAGCATCCGACGCTACCAAAGCTGCTGCCACGAGCGACAACGATGAGGATGACGGAATTACGAGCGATAAATCCGGTATTCCCAACAAGCTTCCAGGTTACAGTCAATTGACACGCGATGTGCTCTCTAACTACGACGAGTATGCTATTGACTACGACCTGATCACACGATTGATCGAGACGGTCGCGTTTGATCCGCAGCTGAGTCGCTTCAGCAGCGCTATCTTGGTCTTCCTCCCGGGACTTGCTGAGATTCGTCAGCTCAACGACATACTGGCTAGTCATCCTTCTTTCAAAGCTGACTGGTATGTGTACCCGCTACACTCTACCATCTCGAGTGAGGATCAACAAGCTGCGTTCCTTGTTCCACCCCCTGGCGTACGCAAGATCGTGCTCGCTACCAACATTGCCGAAACCGGAGTCACGATCCCGGATATCACCTGTGTTGTCGACACTGGTAAACATAAGGAGATGAGATTTGACGAGCGCAGACAGCTATCACGTCTGACTCAGTCCTTCATCTCGAGAGCGAACGCAAAGCAACGCCGTGGTCGTGCCGGCCGTGTACAGGAGGGCCTGTGCTTCCACCTCTTCACAAAATACCGTCACGACAGCCTTATGGCAGAGCAGCAAACCCCAGAGATGCTCAGACTTTCGCTCCAAGATTTGGTCATGCGCGTAAAGATTTGCAAGCTTGGTGATATCGAAGCCACCCTTGCTCAGGCACTCGACCCACCCTCCTCCAGGAACATCCGTCGCGCTATCGATGCACTTGTAGAGGTCGACGCGTTAACGCCGAGCGAAGAATTGACACCTCTTGGTCGCCAGATTGCGAAACTTCCGTTGGATGCGCACCTGGGCAAGCTTGTACTGCTTGCAAGTACTTTTGCATGTGTTGATGTTGCTATTACCATTGCTGCCATCGTCTCTTCGAAGTCTCCGTTCTTGACACCATTTCAACAAAAGCAACGAGCTGACATCGCTCGCCTTGCGTTCAAGAAAGGCGACTCTGACCTCCTCACAACTTACAACGCCTACAGGGCTTGGAAAGCAGTATGCACTACCCCCGGACGGTCTGAGATGCAGTTCTGCCACAAGAACTTTCTCAGTCCACAGAACTTGGGCAACATCGAGGACCTCAAAGCACAGCTCTTCTCCTCGTTGGTTGAGGCCGGGTTCATACAACTTACGCCCGACGAGCGTCGCGCGATAGGCCGCTACCGGAATACGACACGCCACCGTGTCTTCGTTGAGGTACCAGCACAATACGACATCCACACGGACAACGATGTTCTCGTCAACTCAGTCATCGCCACAGCATTCTACCCCAAGATCCTGACCCGCGAAGGCAAGGGCTGGCGAAACATCTCAAATAACCAAACCGTCAGCCTCGGACCAACCTCCGTCAACAAAGGCTCGCGAACAGCCGACTTCCTATCCTACTACAACATCATGCAATCCAGCAACAAGTTCTACAACGCGCACTCGACCTCAATCGCCTACCCACTTCCCATGGTACTCATGGTCGCTGCCGATATGGACTTCAAGCTCCATGCAGGCGTGATCAGTCTACCCGGCAATGTTATCCGCTTCGTAGTTCGTGAATGGCGGGCTGCTGTCGCGCTGAAGGTGTTGAGACGCCGTATCAAGGAGATTCTGGCGAATAGCTGGAAGAACCCTGCGCGTCAGCTGAGCGATCGCGAGAAGGAGTGGCTTGGCTTGTTTTATAGGATGTTTGAGGAGAGGTTTGAGAAGGACGAGAGGATTAGGGAGAGGGCTGGTGGGAAGGCGAAGTGAGGATTGGGTTTTGTTGGAATATGTTAGATGGATCACTTGTAGATATGGATTACGTTGGTGTTGTATGTGTTGGTGCTAAGCTATTGCTTGCATCACTATGACATATAGTTACAATGAATACAAGATCTATAAATACCACTAGCAATATGCGTCGCGCATTGCACGAAGTTGTTACAAGGGGAGAGCGCGGCCACCACGGTTGATGTTGAGATGTACGAGAAGACAAGGCACATAAATCAAGCTACAGTAATAGAGACGGGACCATACAAGAGGTCTATTTAAAGAGACCAAGGTTTGACAAGACGACTATTACAAAAGACGTTACCTGCCATTCTATACACTCTCATCTCTAAGCCGCTCAAAGTCCTCAATCCTTCTTTTCGTCCACTCTTCTACCCGCCGTATAAATACAACATCTGCAAATAAAAGCAAAGTCTTTCCCCATGAAACAGGCGCTACTTTCTCCTTCGCTATATCGCGGAAAAGGGCGTGCGAAACCCACCACATCTGACCCAGAGGGTTTCCGGGTCCATCCACCCCAAGAACTCTCGTTCGCTCTACTATCGCGACAACGAACCAACGCTCGGGGGCCCAGAGCGCCGCTCTGATTACGTGGAATAGTTGCCACAGGTCGGCGGTTAGGCTGTTCAAACAGCATTCATGTACCTGGATAACTACCGTGTCGTGCACTGGGTTGTAGATAGCCATCGACCCACTGGCGTCGAAGGTCGTAAGATCGGAAAGACGGCTTCTCAAACGGCATTCGTAGATAGAGGTTACGGCGGCGTCGTGCGCTGGATTGTACACGAACATCGAGCTGCGCGAATGTAGTGTCGCAACGGCGGCATCTGTGAAGACTTGATGCAGAGGCTGTGTGCGGAGGGCTTCGTTGCGGAATAGACGGCTGGTGTGGTAGATGGCAGGGAGCTTGGGTAGCCGTATCGTTGTGCGAGGAGCGGTGGACGTTGAGGCGTCACTGCTATCATTTGTTTTGCAAGATGAAGGTGCGTGTAGGTGCAGTACTAGTTCATCTTCACGCTGCGCCATATCCTCCTCTAGAGTGTAGTTTATGATCATGACTTGAAGCTCTGCTGACAGATCGGGGAAGCGGGTGAAGGTAGTTGGGGTGGTCATTGTTGCTTGTTGTGATCTTTTTTGTGCGGGTTGGGTGTGGGTTGAGTGTGCATGTCAAGAGGTGTGCAGAAATAAGGGACGAAAGCTTCCTTATATCCTCTCTTAACGCCTGACGCTTAGACCAAAGCTTGATCATTACTATGCCATAGTTGTGGTTGGTCATAGATTTGAGTCGCTACCACGTCTCCACACCCTTTGACTCACGTAGGAGCCAGTGATAACCTCAGCAAGTTTCGGGACGTGTCTACCAAAACAACGCATCCTTAGTTGAGACCGTCGCATTGAGCAGTGACATGTCGCAATCCAAACATATTGCGGATAACCCTCCATCCACTTCATCAGCTGGTACCGCGATAACGCAGAACAACGAGCCACTCACAACTTCCACAGATCATAACTTTTCCATACACACAAACGGTATCCTCGAATGAGAAATGTATAACCGACAGGAACCTTGCAAGTAACCCTTGTAAGGTGTAGAGAAGAATAAGTGACTTTTCGACATAGAAAGTGGATCGTGGACCGAGCACCGCGCCCAAATTTCTACTACCTTTACCAATTTGCTGTCGCACCTTATGTAACCGAGTCACGAGTACTCCCACGTGCTTCCCCCTCGGCTGATGCCGTCATACTGTATAGTCAGCCACGCGGCACAGTTGGACCCCTCATCGTGTAACGCAGCTGTCTCTCTTCCGCTTCTAGTAAACGCGCACGTTATCACACCCGAGAGGTCACCGATTACATTCAAAGACTATTCAAAGAGACTCAGTAGCCATACCAAACTTTGAGTAGTGCTGCGATACTCTTCACCTTGTCGCAACATGGTGAAGATCCTCGATAGCTTTACCCAGGCTATTCTGAAAGAGCAAGACAAGTACGAAGGCAAGTATATCGACGATAACATCGTTGCCGGTAAGTGTTTTACTACCCCAAAGCTATGAGACCGTACGCTCACAGCCCCCTCCAGCATTACCAAAGGGCGCAAGCATAGACCTAGTCCGCACCATAGGTGCAACGCACTGGTCCATACTAACCAAGCTCGACACTACCATCGACAGCAGACCACAGTCCTTCTTCTTGAAAGAGTACCGCGATGTAAACGCGAAACACATGGTCAAAGCCGAGTATGAGTCAACAGCTGCCTTGTACGTCGCGGTACCGAACCACGTGCCTCGACCATACGCATATGGCTGTTTCGCATCGGACTCGCAGCGCTTCTTCTATCTTCAGTCTTTCTGCGATATGGAAGATGCGCCTGTGTATGCGGAGAAGGTCTTGACCGCATCTATCCAGCCATTTGTCGAGGAGTTTATCGGCGTACTGGCTGAAGTGCATAGTAATGGATCGCCAACAGGGAAGTTCGGGTTTCATATCGACAGTAGGTATTTTGTTGTAAGCGAATGGTATCTTGGATCTGACGCGAGATGCTAGCCTTCCAGGGAAACGTCGTTAATCACAACCGATGGTGCGATACTTGGGAAGAGTACTTCAGCCGCAACTTACACTATCTCATAAAACTGGAGCGTTCCATCCATGGTGAAGATCCGGAAATGGATGCTCTATCCGCGGAGATCATGACAAAGGTAGTTCCTCGGCTCCTTCGTCCGATGGAAAGTGGTGGTAACAAGATCAAACCTGTACTGTTACACGGCGACATGTGGCATGGTAATGTCAGCGTCGACAAGAAGACGGGAAGTCCAATGTTATACGACGCAGGATGCCTTTTTGGGCATCATGAGTACGAAGCAGCACCGTGGCGTGCTACGAGGTATGCTTTCAACAAAACGCATTTAGACGCGTATCTTGAGATCGTTTCTGCATCGGAGCCGCAGGAGGACTACGACGACAGGAACGAACTCTACGCGGTGTGAGTAGTATTGCGGCGTTCTATAACGCATGGTCACGCTAACGAACAAGTCGGAACAATCTTGTAGTCTCATGTTGCTGGAAGCAGAACAAGACTACTCGACAGTTGTAAGCCGCGAGCCTCGCTGATATTAGAGCGTGAATTGACCAAATGTAGGGCGATTGAGGGGATGCGAAGCCTGGTAACCAAGTTTCCAGATGGATACGAGGGGTGTATCGCCACAAACAAGGCAAAGGGTAAACGCGATTCTCGGAAGTTGAACGCGAAGTTGTAGAGGAGAGGATATCACCTCACTTTCCCTGAGTTCTGTGCGCCATTCCTTGCGTACATCCGTCTTGCTCATGTGCTTGCCGTCCATTGCGCCATGCCATACCTCTGAGTCGAATGAAGATTGTTGCGACGGCACTGAGTACACCAGAGATTGCGGCGAGAGCCGTGAAGAACCAGCCCTTGCCCATCACTTCCAGAAGAGGCTGCATTGCGGCAACAGCTGCTGCTGAAAGAGCGCATCGTGTGATGTTACCTGCTGCAGCGGCAGTACTTGTGTTCTGCGGAGAAATGTCCACAATGAGGGTGTTGTGCGTCTGGAACGTTGTCAATACTGCTGCCGGTTGTACATTGTAAAAGCAATTACCTGACAGATGCATGTAGCGAGAAATCCATGCACGAACAGAAAGATCAGTGGTACACTTATATGCTGCATAACCGTCAGTGGTGCAATCATATGTAGTGGAGGTGGCATACAATTTCTTCGCGCAAGACCCATCCATACCCCACAACGACTGCAGTCGATGTCGGGATCAGAAGCCACGACAACCGAGAGCGTGCCTTCTCGATGGGAAATTTGACCAGGTCGTCACCAGCGACCTTGTCGACCGTGATGTTATTCGCCTTGGCTGTAAAGCGGTAGTTGTAGTCCATTAGTTTCCCATTAATGTAACCACCAAGGATGACACCAGTCCCTATAGAAAAGTAGCATAGACCAACCTGGAGCTCATCGAGACCGTAGATTTCCGTGAAGATGGCGGGGATGGATGCTTGGATGCAGTAGTAAGCGGCGTAGTAGACGGCACTAGTTGAAAGGACTGCAGCGGTGTCTCGGTGAAAACAAACCAGCAGAGCTTGGAAGGGGTTGGGTATGAGGCTTCTCTTCTTCCAAGCCCTCTGTACTGTACATGCTTCTAGCTGTCGCTGCCGGCTTGACTGCAACAAAGGCATGTTCCATTTGGGTGCTGGAATACTGCCGTTTCCTACGACATTGCGCCCAGTCTCAGGGAAGACAAGGCTTAGCATGACCAGGAAAGCAGCTCCAATAATTAATAGCAACCAGAACACCCATCTGTAACCAGTTCTTGATGCCATTACACCGCCAACTAGAGGACCTATACTTGGACCGAGATTTGTCGCAATCATTGCAGGCCCTAACATGCTTCCCCGAGTAGCTGGCGTTGCTACATCGGCAATGACTCCGTATCCGATGGCTACCGTTGCGGAGCAGCCGAAACTTTGGAGACCACGCAGAACCATCAGAGCAGCATAGTTCTGCTGAAGAGCGAGACCCAGGTTTGCGCAGACGTATATAGCGAAAGTGATGAGGTACACAGGTCGTCGTCCGAGATTGTCGGCCAAATCCCCACAGAAGGCTGGTGCGATTGCTTGAACAATGAGGTATGTCGTGATGGTAAGGTTGATCAGGCTGGCATTGACTCCCACAGCATGTTGGAGTTCTTCAAGACACGGAAAGTATATGTTGGCTGTAAATGGTGAGAAGAACATGCTGCATCCGATCAACCATGTAATCATGCGCCGCTCGGCCTTGGTGAAGACTGTGTATGGAACAGCTGTTTCTGTACTTGGAATGATTATCTTCGCTTCGATCTCTGTCATGTTTGGCGCAGTATGGTCTTTGGTGAGGACGTGATCGTTGCTCAAATGATTCGGCTGGGTCTGCATCTTCCAGATCTGTGGAGTAAGGTCAAAACAGTGAAGCGTAAATGTGAGCTAGCGTCAAAAAGGCTGCGTTCTGTTTGTCAGTGTGAAGTCTCAAGACTTGTCTCTTTGCCTGATTTGATGGCGATAGCCCTTGGTGGAGAAGCAGGCCTCGCGCGTGATGTCGCGTATTGTGGCACATGCTGTCCACTCATAAAAGACGCATGCGCAGGTATACCCCGCCATAGCGATGGTTGCGGCGTAGTCAGCACGCGTCTTGACTGTGATGTCGCGCGCAGGACAGCGTCTGTCGCGAACGCGAGATGGTGGAAGCGATGCGGGCAGTGGCTGCGAGATGTCGCGTTCACGCTAGACGATCTAGCGTCCGACATCACGTTGCTGACGTTCGACACGCCATTTCAAAGTCAGCAGTAGCCCTTCCCCACAACAAACAATACTTCCTCCCATACTCACAAACATCGTGTCTTTCTTATCAAGTAAAAGTGTTTGATATATGCATATCTTCCTCACGTTAGGTATGAGCACTTCAAATCACACAGCAGCGCCTTGTGTTTGAGACCACACTGCACAGGTCCATGTCATAAATATACATACAGTACAGATGCTCTATACCTTCACCTCTTCCACCTTCGGCTTCTCAAACTCAGCCTTGCCATCTTTCACGGTGGCATACCGTATTGTGCCCGATGCGTCTGTGTTGGGTATCGGTGCTTTTGTGCCTTCTCCTATTGACTTGATCTCCTCTTTGATCTTGCGCGTGGCGGCGTCTTCAACGGCGCCTGGTGGGCTGTCCGCAATCTCGTCAACGTTTCTTAAAGTAAGGACGTCGCTGATTCGGGAAGCGCGGGACTGGATGAGCATGGTGGTTGGGCCTTCGAAACGGAGGAATAACTATGTGAATTAGCATTTGTGACAAGTCTTTTCTTAGGCCTGTAGCTTACTCTGTCGCCCCAGACTGTTCTCCGCAACCATGTCTTGAGAGTGTAATATGTGGTTGCCAGAGCCCGCCATGTGCCTGTCTTGCTCATAGTTCGGAAGAACTTGGTGTTCTGGACCATTGAGCCGAAGCCAAGGTCTGGCACTTGGAAGCGGAGGTTCGACGACTTGAATCTGAAAGGAATTGGCGGGGTGTTGGAGGCTGTGTACGCTACGACGTTGCTAAAATGCTGTTAGTATAAATTTCCGCGTATGTATTGTCTCAACATACCTAGGATGCGCGACATAGCTTTCGCCAGCCTTGACCTGGACCTGGTATATTTGCCCGCTTCCTGCAAGCGCAAGTAATCCCCTGCCAGTAATATATGTGTTTCCCCAGTGTGCCAGCCCCAACTTTACATTGTACTGCGGCTTCAACTTGAGAGTGTGGCCAGTCCAGGCGAGCAATGCATTTCGTTGGCTAACAATCCAATCATCCCTTCCGTCCATGTTGACCGAGACGATACTCGATATGGGTGCCTTTGTGGAGACGAGAGCTGTGACGGGGCTCGTCGAAGACACTTTCTGGTAGAGGAAGGGGATGCCGACGGGGGCCCTCTGGAGGGGCTCGAGGAAGGAGAGGGTTGATAGCGTGTTTTCCGACTTTCCGCTGAGGCCGACGAGTGTGCCGCGGCGGGTGTAGAGCGTCTGGGAGGCGGAGAGGGAGACGGAGAGGAGGGAGAATGGGGTGCCAATGACTTCGAATCGGGCGTCTGACAATTTCTTTAGTCTTTTTGTGGTTTATTTAATTACATCGACTTCTTACCTGGTGTGTGCATGGGCGTCGCGGTGCCCTCAACACTGACTGCCTGCTGCAGCGCGGGCTCATTTGACGAGCTGGTGGCTGATATGTTGATGCATCGCGCAGCAACAGGCGTCCGCCGTATGGCAGCGGCGGATGTGCGCGAGAAGTTTCTCCAGGGCGAGGCAGCCGGTCGTAACATGGCTGTGCCGGGCAATTGGCGCGTGACGGGCGGCGAAGATGTTCTGGTGAAGCTCGGAGCAGCGATGATGCAAGAACGCCTCGCTTCAGCCCTGCCGCCCAAAACGCGCTAGACAACGTGGGATGCATGCGGCTGTCTAGGTACTCACAGCAAACACTCTCTTGCCATCTGGTCCTCCTCCGCCATTGAAGCTCTCCACAGCTTCTCTCTCCTGTGACAGCGGTTCAGAGACCTAACATGTGACATCGCCATGTTAATCCAACCACTCGCCCGCGCCGCCAGTCGGCCGGGTCTTCGATCGTCCAGTTTGCGCCCGCATCCTCTCCACCACGGCATTCGCGTATTCACCTGCTCTCCGCTACACAGAAAGGATGCGCACGGCCAGCGGCCAAAGCCCGGCTCTAAGCCCGCCATCGAAGCCACCAAACCTGCCGCCGACCCCGCCGCGGCCAAAGTCGCAAAGTCAGACCCATTGCTGCAAGAGCAGGTGCTGACCAACAAGGAGCAGCGCAAGGCTGACTGGGCCATTATGAAAGAGATGTCGGCATACCTGTGGCCAAAGGACAACATGGGCACGCGCTTCAGGGTCGGCATCAGTCTGGGCTTGCTGGTAGGCGCAAAGCTGCTGAACGTCCAAGTCCCCTTCTACTTCAAGAGCATTGTAGACGCCATGAACATAGACTTTGCGGCTGTTGGCGGCACAGCGACCACAGTGGCAGGCTCTATGATCATCGCATGTAAGCTAGACCCAACAATGCATCCCATGTCCACCCTGGCTGAGACTTCCTTCAGACGGTATGACTCGTATTGGCGCCACTGTTTCCCAGGAACTGCGCAATGCCGTCTTTGCCAGTGTCGCCCAGAAGGCTATTCGTAAAGTCGCTTGCAGTGTCTATGATCATTTGCTGAGGCTGGATCTAAGTTTCCATCTATCGAGGCAAACAGGAGGCCTGACGCGCGCCATTGATCGCGGTACCAAGGGTATCAGCTTCTTATTGACTGCCATGGTCTTTCATATCTTCCCTACGGCGTTAGAGATCTCTCTAGTATGCGGTATCCTGACATACCAATACGGCTGGCAATTCGCTCTCATCACAGGCACGACCATGACCGCCTACTCCGTTTTCACCATCAT